AGGACGAGCCCGCGGATGCCAGCTGTGCTGCCGGAGGGTGGCCCGTCCCCCGAGCCCCCCGGCCCCCTCCTGCTGCCCAGGGGACCCCCGGTCCCTGCCGGTGGGCACCGTCGCTCCCGGCAGCGCCGTGCTGTCTGCCGAGCACGGGATGGGGAAAGTTTTCCCACCGACAGCAAAAAGGCTTTTCAAAATGGAGTTTTGATAAGAAATCAAGGGGGGAATCCTTTTTTAAAACGTCAGAACGTTTCCCTTTTGTAAAGAGAAACTGTTTTTTAAAATGCCTACTCTTTTGTTCTGACAGCTTCAAAGAAAACCTCCCACCGTTCTTTTTAAACTTCCTATAGTTAAATAAGAGAAAGATGACACTAAAAAAAAAAAAAGAAGGAAGAAACAGGTTAAAAGGTGAGTCTAAACAACCCAACGAGAACGGAGCCTCTTGCTCAGGCTCAAACCCCTGTATCGGCTCGACCGAAAGCGAATCCTGTTTTTGTTGCTGTGTTCAGCCATTACCCTTGGCATCTTCACGGATGCAGAAAGGGGAGGAGGACAATTCTGTCTGGCTTTTCATTTGCACAGCAGTGTGCTGAATATTAATGAGCCCAAACCCAGCGCTGTGGCACTGCTGCAAATCACCCGTTCTGCAGTGGCTCGTAGTTTGCTGGGGAATTTTTGCATGCGAGCCAACAGCAGGGGCCGGGCAAGCTAATTCTCCTCTGTGACCCGACTTTGCAGACAGCAGCCACGCCATGAGCAGGAGCATCCCCGAAGCACCCTGACAGCTCTGCTGGACACGCCACTGCACATCAGGCTGTTGTCATACCAGGGTTTCCTTTATCAAGAGTCAGGCACCTTTCTCCTCCTTGTTAATGTGAGAAGTGCACGTAGGGAAGCGAGGTTCACTCTTGCACAAATCCTCTTGCCTTGCCTTTTTGCCTTGCCTTTGCCTTGCCTTTCACACCGAGGAGGGTTGAGACTGCTGTGTCTGGCCCAAGCCATCCCTACAACAAACCACCACCTAACACCCCGGCCATAGTGTTTCACCCCTGAGGAACATCTCCCTGCACCCAGAAGCCAGTGGAGCCCAGCACAGGGTGACAGCACCTCTTTTCCAAATAGAACAAGAGTAGGATCCAGCTTTCAAAGGTCTCCCGGGGCCCCTCAGGGACACACCAAACCTTGTTCCCAGAGTTTGGGACCCTGGAGGCGAGGACTGAGCTTCATTACAAAAGGTGTCTTATCAGCACCCTTCCTTAGTTGCTGAAATTAAGGCTTTTAAACACTGTGCTCTGAATAATAAAAACCCAGCAGGCTGCTCTGTTGGTAACAAATCCCACCAGGCCTGCGTACTGCCTCCCGGCCCCGTGTTTCTCTGCAGCACAGTGTTCACGTCCACCAGCGCCTTGGTTTGGAGCTGCCGCTGTCTCGCCGACGCAGACCCAGCCAAGCCCCCCTCT